CAGCAGTCCAGTCACACACACTTGGCTGGCCAGGGTCAAAACACCAGGATGGTGGGCAACCACCAGTGGGACCATCCACCCATTCATCCTGGAGAAACCATCCCCCCAGGACCCCCTCACTTCACCCCCTCCTCTTCCTCCCACCTCGATGCTGGGCCCGACCTGCCCTCTGTCCTCTGCAAATATGATGGGGGTTGGGGGCCTGGCCCCACAGCGTGGGGCAGGATTTATGTCCTCACATTCCCCAGATGGTTATGGTAATGGCCAGGGCTGGACACCCACAGGAACAATTCTGTGCCCTGTTCCAGGGGTGCCACCCTGCTCAATGTCCTTCTTGTTCAAGGACGGTTGCCTCCTCCCCAAAATTGTGGGTCCCTTCCCACTCTGCAGGAGTGGGTTCCAAGGGATGATGCTGTGGGTCTCAGCCAGGGTTTGTCCCTCATGAAAATCCCCTGGACCTACTTGCCCCCTCAAAAAAAGTCCCCCTTGTGCCAGAAAAAACACCTTCCTGGGGTTGCAAGGCTACAAAACACTTGGGTAAATGCTGAGAAGGAGGGAAGGATGTGTCCCAACACCAGATGACAGCCAAGGATGGGGGGAAAAAAGCAGCCTCCAGTCCCCAACTCAGAGAGTGAGAGCTTAGGAAAAAAAAAAAAAAGGCATTTATTCATCCATTTTCTGCAGAAGGCACTTAAATAGTGGCAGCTTTGGCCAAGGGGAAAGGCACGTGTCCACTACCATGGAACTGGGTCCTCACCCCTAAAAGAACATCCCTCCCTTGTCCCCCATGTCAACCCCAGAGTCTCTGTGGCAGCCCCAGGTCAGCTGTGCAGGGGGGATGCTGGATGTTGCAGGGGTGGTGCAGGGCACCCCCAGCTCCCCATCCCACAGCAGCTGGGGGTGGAGGGGGGTCCAGCCTGGCAGCCCCCTGGCTGAGCAGCCTGAAGCCACAATGCTGGTGGCACTGGTCCTGGCAGGGACCTCCTTGTCCCTGTGGGAAGTCATAGCTCATCTTTTCCACCCGCAACAGCAGCTGGTGGCTCCTGCTTTGGCTCCTGCAGCAAATCCTTCTCTTCTGGGCTGAAAAGCATCTTCACCAGGTCATCAGCTTGCACACGCTCCTGTGGGGCAGAGCCATGGGGATAAGCATGGCCATTATCCCCCCCCCATAAGGACACCCCCCCACTGCCAGGGGGGGAGCCTACCCGCTCGCTGTGCCGGGGGTCCAGGGTGAACCAGAGGGCGATGGCACAGCGCTGCCCCTTGGTCACTGCTTTCACCCCGTGGGGGTTCTCTGAGCCAGAGGAGAAGCCCACGGCACGACCACACTGTGGCTGAACCTCTGCCTGCAAGAGATGGAAGAGCCCCATCAGGTGGGGGGGAGAGTTGGTCCCCCTCAACCTACGTTCATCCCTTGAAGTGGCACCAAGGGCTTTCACAGAGTCATTCTGGTTGGAAAAGACAGAATCAGTCATAGAATGGTTAAGGTTGGAAGGGACCTTAAAGATCATCTAGTTTCAACCCCCCTGCCATGAGCAGGGAACCACTAGACCAGGTTGACAAAAAACCTTGTCCAACGTGGCCTTAAAAACCTCCAGGGATGGGGCATGAACAACCTGCTGGGCAACCCATCCCAGTTCCACACCACCCTTAGAGTGAAGAATTTCTTCCTAATATCTAACCTAAATAATTGAGATAATTGAGTCTAACCATAAACCCAACTCTACCAAGTCTGATGCTAAATTGTATCTCTCAGCACCAGATCTACAAGTCTTTTAAACACCTCCAGGCATGGTGACTCAACCATCTCCCTGGTGGGAGCCTATGCCAGTGTTTAACTACTCTTTCAGTTAAGAAGTTTCTGCAAATATCCAACCTAAACCTCCCCTGGGCAACATGAGCCCATTTCCTCTTGTCCCATCCCTTGTTCCTGGGGAGCAGAGCCCGACCCCCCTGGCTCCAACCTCCTCTCAGCAGCTGCAGAGCCAGCAGGTCTCCCCTCACCTCCTTGTCTCCAGGCTGGACACCCCCAGCTCCCTCAGCTTATATTCAGCTGCTGTTGACCAACACCCCCAGGTCCTTTTCCTGCTGGGCACTTTCCAGACACTCTGCCCCAAGCCTGGAGCATTGCAGGGGGTTGTTGTGACCCTTGTTGAACCTCATACATCGTTCCCAGGGGATGGAGACAGTAGGCAGGAGCTGGGATTGGTGCTGCACATGGATCCTTTAAGGAGCTGAGCTACTTACAGTCTCAGTCTTTGCATCCAGCTCAGTGAAGTAGAAAGCTCCTCCTTCAAAGTCCCCGTTGAGGTAGAGGATGGCACTAAAGGAAGCAGGGAACAAGCAGAAGTGATCATTATCACCCCAGACCGCAGCTCCAGTATCTGGGAGCTCCTCTAACACCACAGAAAGAGCTAGAGGCAGGAGAGCCCAGTTTGGGTTGTCATCCCACCCTGCTCCTCCCAACCCTGGTGCCACAAAGCCATGGTGCCCTCAGGTGAGGAAGCTCTGATGATACCACTAGTACCTGTAATCCCGGAAGGTGTAGGCTGGAGGTTCCTTCACACACACCAGGGCTTCTGCATTGAGGATGCAGTTGTCCACGTGCACCTCATGACTGTTGTCACTTCTACCTTCTTGCTTCTCTAGGGTGGAACAAGACCTGGCACATCAGGATCCCTTTGTCCCTGCAGGACCATGAACTATCCCAAATCACCAGGAGCTAGGAGGTGACAAGAAAGTCACCTGTAGCCTACAACCCTTTCACTTGCTGAAGTGACCATGAGAGGCCATTTTGGTGGCACAAGCCTCTGTTGACTTGTGCCACAATTCCATGGTTCTCCAGTCACAGCCTCTCCCAGCACCTAACCCAAACTGCCTCTGGGTGGTGAAATCTGGTATGGCATGAAGCCACCTACTCCCCTGGAGGCAACCAACTGAGCTGCTCATCTTCCCAAACCAGGCTTAGGGATGAGCTCCCCACACCTTCCCTTTGGGAAAAGGAGCAGGTTAGGGAGTGCCAAGGAGGTCTCCAAGGAAAGGTCCAAGACTGGACCACCCCAGCTGTGGGAGAGGGCCCAGGCAGGGTAAGAAGCTGAAGGAGATTTGCTCCTCCTCGGGTTGTGCTCCTCCAAGGCCATGCTCACCATCAATGGCTGTACGGCACACCAGGTGGGAGTAGGAGAAGTGGAGAGGGACCTCCAGGCGGAAATAGGACTCCATCATGTGCCTCACCTTCTCTGTCATGTTGTAGTAGAGGTAGGCACTCTGAAGGGGCACCTTGCCCTCCTGGCCCAGCTGTGGGGGATGGACAGGACATGGGCTCAGCCCTAGGCAGGCAGGGCAAGCACGGGCAGCTGCCCACCTTCAAACCTCTCCCTCTCTTGCCTCCACAGCCTGTTCCCAAGCCCTTCCCACAGCCACCCTAACCTTGAGGGCCTTGAGGACAGTCACACCATGGAAGGTCTCACTGGGAGTGTGAGGAGATGTCTTCCCACGATAGCCATCCCCAGCTGAGGCAGCTGCCTGCAAAACCCAATCAACGAGTTACCAGCCTGACTTCTGAGCCCCAGGATGGGGCTCTGCCAGCACCATCCCTGTCCCCTCCTCCTGTCCCCACACTCACGTTGGAGAGCGCCTGCAGCTCCTGGCACTCCTTGGTGGAAAGGACCCCATCCACCACCACACGCTGAGAGCCGTTCAGGGCCTTGGAGTTCATGGTGACACTGGCTCCTTCATACACCAAGGGGCCACCTGTGGCACCAGGGGATCAGAGGGAAGCAGGGATGGGTGTCACCAACCCTGGGGTACAGCGCTGCGGGAAGCGGCGGTCCTGCCACCTCCTCCTGCCACAACCCATGCAGAGGGCCCCATGAGCTGGCAGAAGGGACACGGAGGTCCCCATCCTGCCTTCCCTCCTGGCCCTCCACACCTTCTCGGATGAACTTGCTGAGATCAGCAGACTCCTTGGCCTTCTCCTCCACCAGGGTCTCGATCTCCTTCATGAGGTTGCCGATCTCCTCCGAGATGCGCGCCGCTGTCTCCCGCTCCACCCTGGGGGGGTGTGTCAGCCTTCAGCTCCCCTGCCCCACGTCCCCACGTCAGGAATGAGGGGCACTAGCACAAGGGCAGGACAAGCTGTCTCCAGGGACTGGTGACAAAGCCCAAGGATGGAGAGAGCCATCTCAATGCAACCCTCACCCTACGCTGCTCAGGATGACCTACCCATTCTTATCACCCCAAGGGTTGATGGGGGGCAAAGTTCTGCTCTCCAGCAACATCTCCCAGCCCCAACACCAAAATCCCTCTCTGACAGCAGCTCCAAGGCCTTTGGCCCAAACCCTCTGGTGGAGGAGGAATACATCCCATCAGTCACCCCACACTGGGTGGCCTTGGCCAGTGGCTGGGGAGAGGCCTCACTTCTGTTTCTCTCGCAGTCTTTTTGGTATCACCTCTTCAGGTGTCCAAGTGTCCTGCAGCCAGAAGAACAACATCATCAGGAACTGGATCAGGATCAGGCTGCAACACAGACACCCCCATCCTCCTTCACCCATCCACCAGATTCAGGCTGGTCCAGCACCACTCACCGGATCCACGAACGGGATACCAAAGACATCGTAACTGAAGAAGAGCAGCTCCTTCTCCATCAGGCTTCGTTGGTGGTACACCTGGATCTCCTGGATGAGGGGCAGAGGGACAGGGTGAGGGCATGGCAGCAGGCCTCTGGGAAGACCCTGAGCGAGGGCAGGAGGGCGCAGGGTTTACATCATTCCTGCAGTCCTTGCTCCAGACCCGCAGCCCTGGTTTCCTGGTCAAGTAAGTGGCTTTCCCCATCCTGCACGAAGTTCCCTGTCCTGTGTGGATGAGCCCTGGAGAGAGGACGGGGAAAGACAGAGGCACAGGCACATCCCTCCTGCAGGAAGCTCTCTGGAAGCTGATTCCCTTCCCTGCTCCACCTCACACAGGGCAGAGACCTCCATCCCACCTGCTACCTCCCAGGCAGCACACAAGCATCTGGATCCAGCTATTTGGAAGCCAAATCCTCTTCTCCTTTTTAAGCAATTTCACTTCAGTTGTGGAAGTCTGTACCAGAGGTGGGCTCAGATTCTCTGAAGAAGTCTGTCCTTTTGCAGACCTCTCCCACAAGAGCTGGTCCATCCATACAAGCTTGTATGGATACAAGTGCTTCACTTGGCCAAAGATATTTTGCCCATGATGTTTCTCAGTCTCTCAGCTATTTTCCAGCTTGTAGGGTCTTGCATCCATCCATTCCTCTCCACCTTGACACCAAAGGGTGGCTGGACCAGAGCAGACCCCAAAGTCTCTGCAAACATTATGAGCCCCAGGAGGGGAGAAGATGTCCTTGCAACAGCTCATCCTGGTCAAGTCACTCACCTCTCGGGGTTGGATGGGTCCTGCCAGGTTCTCCCCCAGGACAGCAGTGTAATAAGCCAAATTCTGGTTCATCACCTCATCATTTGGAAAGAAGAGCAAATAGGTTTTGGTGCATTCAATGGCTTTTTCATAATTTCCATCTGCAAAGAGAAAGGGGGCTGTTATGGCAAGGGCAAGAGCATAAGAGACAGAGCAAACATGGATATGGAGGAGGTACAAGAAAGTCCTTAGTGTTCTCCAAAGAGGCACCCAAGGAGGGTAGATACCCTGGAGCAGAGAGAATTACTACCACGGGTAGGACTTGTGACACGGGTGTGTAGTGAGAGGACAAGGGATGATGGTTTGAAGCTTAATGAGGAGAGATTCAGGTTGGACTTCAGCAAGAAGTTATTTTCTGTGAGGGTGGTGAGACACTGGCCCAGGTTGCCCAGAAAAGTTATCCATGACTTCAAGGAAGTGTTCAAGACCAGGTTGGATGGGGCTCTGAGCAACCTGGTCTAGATGTCCCTGTGTCTTGGGCTGGACTAGATGATCTCTGAAGGTCCCTTCCCTGCTCAAACCATTCTGTGGGTCTGTGATTTCTGCCAGTGGAGAACAGCCCATGCAGCACATGGTGCCCAGCACTGATGACCAGAAGAGGACAGGACAATGAGCTACTTACTGTTGTAGTAGGCAAACTGGAGGTAGTTGAAGTGTGATGGTAGAAAATCCTCCAAGGGCTTCTCCCTTCCGGGCTGGGAGGCCAGCTCTGTCACACAGCCCTGCTTGCAGCTGAGTACCTGCATGTAGTGATCTGGTGGAGACAAACCCACGTCACTGTTTATGGTCACCCAAGGGGTGGTGGATAGAACTTTGAGGAACATTAAAGGGTTTCCATTCCAACCCTGCCTGCAGCAGGGCTGTCGACAGCTTCTTGGTGTTGGAAACCCTCGAGGATCGTGGTTGCCCACCTGTGTGTGATTGGTGGTGGGGGAGGTGGGGAGAGCTGTCCCCAGCTCTCTGGGGAATAGACTGGCTATTGTCACCCTCCCACCCTTGTGTTCTGGTAATCCTCTACTGGTCCTCCACATCCCCCTGCAATCTGTGGGGGCTCCTGGGCATCACCCCCAGTGCTGAGTGTGGACAAACATCTCCTACCCCTTACTGGCCACGTTTCTCCTAGTGAAACGTTTGCCCTCTTTGAGGACCACCACCTCCCAGGACTGCCTCCAGCTTTTGGGACAGGACACAGAGCACAAGCAGCTCCCACCTGTGATGGCCTGGAAAAGGTCTGCGTTGTACTCCAGGTAGTTGTAGCCCTCGTAGTCGTAGGGTCCCTCACAGAGGGCCCTGCACTCGGCGTCTGCCACCAAATACTCCTGCAGTGCCTTCCCCAGGTGCAGGATGGCAGCAGCAGGCTGCTCCTCCGTGTAAAACCGCACCCCCAGCCGGAACTCGCTCTGGGGAGGGTTGGGAAACCAAAGGGGGACTCAATACCCCCCTCCCTGCGGTGGAGCAGCCAGGGTGCCTTGTCCCCCTGGGCTAGGGATGGACCTGCAGCACCTCAGGAGCTTTGCCAAGGTGGGAGGTGCTTTGGGAGCAGCTGCCCAAGGTGGGAAGGAGGGAGGGAAGGAGGGAGGGAAGGAGGGAGGGAAGGAGGGAGGGAAGGAGGGAGGGAAGGAGGGAGGGAAGGAGG